CCCCCCCCCCCCCCCACCCCCGAAAAGCAATGTAAGACAGCCCCCCCCATCCTACCCCCCTCACCAAAAACCGGCAGGTTTGACAAGAACCCAACTGTAACAGGCCACGCACCCCAAGGTGTCACGCCAGTCACAAACTACCACAGCAGGCGCAAGCCCTAGACAGAGTGGACTAAACACAACCAACTCCGGGAAGGCCTGAAAAAAGGGAGGGGAGGCATTTGTCTGAGACTGTTGCACGGAACGAGCGACACCAGAATCAAAGACACTGGTGACACCTGGAAAAAAGGGACAAGTGCCAGCAAGACGAGAGACACAAGTGATCCAAGACCCAAAAAAGATCTCACTACAACACTGCTGCTTGGACGGGCCATTTGCGCACAGCCACGCGATGCTTCGAGAAAGCTCAGAGCCACACCCGGAAATAATGAATGTCACACAGCAAGTTGTTGATGATGTGCTTCTTGGTCACCTGCACCGATCCGACAGTTCAGAGGCTTCACGTGGCCTTGAAATGAACCTCCACGCCGATGTAGCCGTCGGTGCTTACCCGCTGATCCACCTTGCTGTAGTCCGCCTCAACCTGAACCCCACTCCACCGCGACGCCCCCCCGTCGGCGCACACGGCTGCAACGTTTGGCCGAACTGAACAGCACTCGGCCTTGCGCGCCGGAGCTCCGTCCCAAGAGCAGCACATCCTGAAGGCTGCGCAATGTTCGGGGGCCCCACAAGTCCAACCAAAACAACAAAAGCTTCTACGAATTTTACACATCCCTGAGGCCCATGCTCTGTGTGGCCGTCAGCCTGGACGATCGGCCAGACGGCCAGAGGGCACAGTTGCATCACAGATTCGCTGTAAGACAGCCACATAACTGATGGCACAGTGAAGCCATTCCCCTGCCATCGGGGGCCTTGGACGTCCCGACACGGAAACGGGACATGTCACTCGTCAGGTCAGGCGGACAAAGGCGCCGGCACTGGGAGGATTGTTGGCTGTCCGTTGTAGCAGAACACGATGTGCCAAGCCTGAAACGCAGCTTGACAGGGGCTGGCATCACCGTCACTGCGGCATACGCGAGCCTGCGGCTTTCCGGTGGCTTCTCCGGCCAGCATGCACTCCTCAGAGCTTTGAACGGCGGTGGCCTCCGAAGCGGCCCATGGCTGTCAGCATGTGTCAGCCTTTACCCGCAACCACAAGTTGCCTCCAGCGCGATGCGGAACTGATCCCTGTCTGCACTGCCCTTCTTCGCCTCAGCTGCGGCACCCCTTGTCACGGGCTCCTGTCCTCTTCACAAGAATCTCGGACCCCTGCAAAGCAGGAGATGATGCTTTGGACCTGCAGGCAGCCCATGAGATGCACTTCAACAGCGATGGCTACAACTGATTCAGAGGTTCAGAAATCCAGAAATCCAAAAACAACCGGTCCTTGGCACCCTCTTCCAGGAGAGCATAGCCACGAAAGCGAAGCTTAAAGTCGATGGCGAAGCTGTCCTAGATTCCAGAGAACAGCTCTTGGCCAGAAACGGAAATGCTGGAAGACTCAGCAGCTACTACACTTTCACAAACAGGCCTCAGAGATGCCAAGGCGAAAGGGCGTTTGCGTCACCTGCGGCAGGAAGCTAGCTTCAGCTTCTCACCAGAAAGCTGACGGATTGCTTAGAGCGCCGCCGATTTCATGTTGGAGAAGTTCAGGGCATACTGTCTCAGCCGATGCGGAACCACCTGAGGAGGAGGCTTCGCTGCAAGATCACGGGCGCTTGAACTACGTGGCGCGCAAGGAAATACTGAGCTGCGAACCGCTTCGAGATCGAAGATGTTCATAAGGAGCTGGATAGCTGCCATGCGCAGCGAACGTGCCAACTCTTGAGGTCCCTGGCACTTCGCGATGCGGGGAAGCCACAGAGGATGAATGTAGCTGGTAGCAGACATGCTGACGAGTCTATGGAGCCTTGTCCCTTCCATGACGCTGCAAGTAGGTCCTAGCGGATGTTGCTTGTGCAGACACGCAACACAACGGCTTAGCTGGGCTGCCGGCTTCGAGTTGAGAACAGCAAAGAGCACCGTGTCCACCTGAAAAAGCCCGAACTTAACTCAGGTAGGTCGACCCATTTCTGGCTTTTCTAAAAATGCTGACTCTGTTTTCGTAATTCAAGGAGTCTTCTCTGCAAACCTTGAGCACGATTCTGCCTCGGCGTTCCATGCCGTTTTCTGACACCTTCAACCTGCCGGCCCTTGAAATCCGCCGCGCATTGGCACCCTTGCTTCATGAGGCCAAACCCCGAAAATGCTTGCCGGGCCCCTACATGAACTCTTGACTGACCTCCTGCCTGATGCCACTTGTCCGAGATCACCAGCCACATCAAAGGGGACGGTTGTTGGTCTAGGCCCAGGCAAGGCTGACTCTGCGGACTTGCATGGAAAGCTCAGATGTCTCAGGGGCTCGCGATGGAACGGGTACATTATGGACCTAAAGCCCATCATGCAGACTGCTTGACGCGTATCGGGCGTATCTGCAAATCAACCACCGCAGCCCCTGGCTCGCTACGCTCGTTGGCTTCCTCCAAAGGTAGAATGTCCTTCTCCGTCGGGAGCATGTGCCGCGACCTCACTCAGAAGGTGTCGGAAGTGAGAAGCAGGCCTGCCTCAACTCACGCCCCCCACCTGAAGTAGGCGTTGTAAACCTGACTCCTGGTCAGGCCCTCGTCATGGTAAGTCATGTGGGCGATGAGACCTGTGACGGGCAGAAGGCTGACTCGCATCTTTCGTTTTGAATTGAGCGGGATTTCTGGGCCTTCCATGATGCTGATGGAACTCTGGTAGTTCAGCAACTCCGGGGGCGGGAAGCCAACGAAGCACACGGCTCGCAAGGGTTCCGGCCTTAGCAGGCAGTGTCTTGTGGGCGCAGCATGGCACGACAAGTGTTTTTGCAGCCACTTTCAGGGCGCCCACGGTAGGGAAGAGAGCTGTATGCGGCCCTGGAGCTTCGCCTCCACCACCTTCTCGCCCTGCGAGTGTGGTGCATGTGTGTGTGTGTGAGAGAGAGAGAGAGAGAGAGAGAGAGAGAGAGCTTCCTTAGCACACGGGAAAAGAGGGTCACTCCTACATTGGTCTGCTTTTTCGCATTGCAGGGGGATGCCCCACACCTGAAGAGTGGGCATCTAGCAAAGAGGCTCTTCAGAGAGTGCTGATATGGTGCCGGGACGTTGGAACCACGTACTGCAAGTCAACACGGCAGCACCCTGAGGTGCCAAGATCAGAAAAAGGACAGCCCGCCGCGGTGTCCAGATTGGTTTAGCCGCTTGTGTGGAACAACGAACAACAACCCTGCCTGACCCCTCTTCTCTGCTTGCCTCTTGCTCTTGCCGAAAGAAATCCCACAAGTGAAAGAAATCCCACAAGTGTGTGGATGACTGCATACCCTGCCAAGCGCAGTGTCTCCTCACCATCACGTTGGAAGAATTGCGTGCGTAGCCTCCCTAGAGTGTCATGGATCGAGGCAACATCCAACTTGGTTTGAGCCTGACAGACTCCGAAAAATGGAGAGTTGCGATGCTCGGAATCGCATGTGCCTACCTACCGACCGGTGCTGCCCGAGATGGGTTTGGTACCCGTCCGGCGCTTTTTGTGCGTGCTGCTGCACCGGAGATTATGCGTTGACCAACTCTCGACTGCGTTTTCGTCACTTTGGCATGCCCACGTCCCCGGGTCCTGCAAGTATGCAGAGACGGAGCGGTGTTGAATCGAGACCACCACCTTGGCGGCTCAAGGGAAGAAAAGGCAGGCGGTTCAACGACACGAAAACACTCAGTAGCTGCTTGGCGAGGGGCATGCATCCAAACACCAACTTTCACAAGTGCCAGCTCGCTTGCTGTCTTTCCATCAGCAACTGACGAGGCACTTGGACAGCCCATTGTTGAAAATACTCATGTGCAATCTCTGCGCGCCTTCCTCTTCGTTGTCCGGGGCCTTGCAGTCGTTTCCCAACCACAGCTCCAGCCGGCCATCCTGCAGGCGACATGAGCTTCACACATAGCGCCGTTGTTCGATGTGAAGACTCTGCAAAACGTACCGTAAAGTAAACTCGACTAAGCACGAGGTCACCTTTGCACAGGCAGAGGTTCAAAAGTCATGGACATGGATCGCTGTTTACAGGACAATAAGGCCGTAGGCTATGGCAATGCTGGCAATGCTGCACTGAGCCTTGACAGCATGATCCACAAAGCTTCGCGCAGTGCTGGCTGCAGGCCATGAACGGCAGCATGGCCGATCAGAAGCGGGAATTTCGACAAAACCATGAAGCAACCGACATTGTAGCAAACACGAACAGAGACACGGCTCATTCGTGGTGTTCTCCGACTGAGGCGTGTTCAGTCCATTAATTAACGCTCTTCTGAATCTTCTCGTTCAGCATGCTAGACTGTGATGCAGCATTCGGCGAAATTCCGCCTGCCCGGAGTGACCATGGCCAGCCGCAAGGGCAACGGAGATGACGGGCGTGCCGGTGCCTGCTGGCATGTAGTGACCTGAGAAGATCGTGCATGAGGGGCGCACGCAGTGTCGACTTCTGGGATGTGGACCCATCAGAAAGTAGGTCTTCCGCCCAAACTCCCCCCTCGACGTGGGCTCCTCGCTGTGCGTTTCGGACAAGATTTGGCAAGGTGCAAAGCCCGGCCACGTGCCTGCATGTAGATCCAGAAGCTGTAGGCAAAAGGAGGATGCAGAATACAGTAGCCTTCTTGCTCCATCCAGGCATCTTGCATTGAGAGCACGACAGCGATAGCTGAGGCCGGAGCTCGGTATCGAGAAAGTCAAGCTTTGGGGCGGCAGGCCCTGCTGATCAATCCCGGTGCAGCTTTCTGCTTCGTCTCTCTTTCAGACCAACCTGGTAGCACTTGGTTGTCTTCGTGTCGGGCCTGGAACATTCGGACTGAGCTTAAGCGAGTTGAAGCGCCACAATCACAGCATGAGGACTGGGCTGCTCCATGCAAAGCTTTGAGAACTTCACCTATGCGCTCCGCTTTTGCAACATCACAGCACTGTTGTGATTCAGCCACAATAAATCCAAGCAGCCATTTTGAAAAGGCGCTGCTCTCGGAAGGGCCTGCATCGAGGACACATCGAAAATCCCCTCTCTTCGGGGGGCTCGTCTCGACGGTTGAAGCAGACTTGACAGAAACGTTGCCGCCTCGCGCTCAATGCGGAGATCGCCCGGAAGCAGGAGGCACCTTAATTGGGAGATTTCAGCATGTGTGCCGTCGACCGCCCAGGCTGGATGCTTTGAGTGCTGCGCGCAAGCTTGGTTCTTTGGAACTGAGAAGCAAGGTGACGAAGTTCAGCAAATCCTGGATACCGATATCTCTTTGCACGGCAAGCTTGGCAGCATATCCTGCCCTTAAGTCCCAATTGCTCAGACTGCGACGGATTTTTTGAGCGCTTCTGGCATAGCCTTGTCCTTGTCTGCTCCTTTCCCAACCTCCAGGCATCATGATGCATTCAGTGCATTGGAGTACTGAAACCAGTGAAAACATTCGCAGAAGGCAGTGCGACTCCCTTTCTCTGCCTCATCCGCAACATCTGTACAGCCCCGATAAATCTTGCACAGGTCGCTTGTTCACTATCGGCTCAGACCACTAATCTCCGAATCTAAAGAGCCTCCGGTCTCCAAGGCTCTTTCAACAGCCGGACCAAATTTCTGCAGAAGTTCCTCCCAAAGGCTGCGATATGCTAAGTTCAATACTTCCAGTGCTTGCTGCGTCTTGGCCACTTCAGCCCAACGCAATAGCTTGCTCAAGCGAAAAGTCTCAATGTCTTCGAACTCTTTCGGGATACTCTCCAGCAAGCGAGACACCCTGAACAAGGGCTGAGCAGCATGGTGTTGAGTGCTGGTCGAAGCAATTGCACGGTCGAAGCATCGCTGGTAGTCCTGAACAGGTGCAAGCTGGGAAGAAGCCGGTCTCAGGTCAAGAACACACCCCCCCACAGGAGTGAGAGACACGACACTGGCCCACGCTGCCTCACACGCCGATCGATCACGAGTGCGGCGACCCTATAGCTCATTCTGGAGAATCACTGCTGGGACTTGCATGCAGTTGAACTGTGCAATCTGAATGAGCTTGCAGTTGCTCGAACGACGACGAATCGTGGTCAAGACATGTGAAGACCAAAGTCACGACCGTTGAACGAGAGCCCTGCCGCAATCGAACCGCACTCTTCAAACAACACTCTTGGACTCTTGTCCTCCTGGTTTTGCATCATCAACCCGCAACCATATTGGTGTCGGCGCAGCAGCTTACTCCGCGCTGAATCCACAGTGTCATCGTCTTTGCATGCCAAGTGACTCAGATCCGCGGGATAGTCCGATGTATACCACTTTGCATACTTCTCAAAGTCTTCCAGCCCTAGCAGGAGCTTGTCGCGGAGACGAAGAAAGTCTTCCATGACGAGCCCACCAGCTCCGAAACCCGGAAATGTGGAATTAAGACAGTACCCCGACTGCCAATCAAGCTGCTCGGCTACCTTTGAAAAGAACGTCTCAAAATCCAGAAGCTTGCCTGTCGATTTGCAATATTTCACAACCTTAAAGGCAGGGTTGTTGTAGTAAACGGGGCTTAATGCTGACGACAAGAGGATGGGCCCCGCACCCGGCGGGGGATTTGGCAGTATCCTAAACTCATCCTTGTGGACGTGGCCGAAGAGCTGCGCCGCAATCACACTTCCGAGCAGACTGTCTTGGACAATCTCTAAGTATCTCGAGAGATACATGGGATGCCACAGCTCCGTGTAGCCGAATGTTTCAATACCCGGTGGTATGTGGCCCACAATCCAGACACTGCGGCCTTCATGTGCAGCTTCCTTGAGCCTGCTGGACAACCAGGCGAATTGACTGAAAGGGTCTTCCTCCAGCTGTGTTGGTCGATGTCGCACAGAGTAAATCACCGTAGCAATGCTCAGGAGTGTTAGGTTGCCAACACGGGCCTCAAAGTAACCGCCATAGCTGTATTGCTTGACAGCATCTGAAGTCATCGACCAGCTGGAATTCAACTTCGCGCCTACAAGGACAAACCAGTCATTGGCAGGCTCGTCGGACGTTATCGTCTGGAAGTAGTTCTGTGGCCCATCGTCATTTCCCAGAGCACCCATAACGAGCGGGATTTTGGGGAAGTGCGCCTTGAAAACGGATGCCACGTCTCCAATGATGTTTGATACACTTGCGCGAGTATTGGGCATCAGACCCATCGTATGCCTGGAGAAGTCGCCGGTGTAGAGGAGAAACTCCTTGGGCTGCTCCGTTGCTTGTGCAGCAGATGCTGCAGACCAGCCCAAAGCGATTGGAGGGTCGCAGCCCATCAAGCCAAACGTTTGGTCCTGCAGTGCGTGCAGGCTCCGTTTGCGGCACTGGCGAATACCTGTTGCATAATGTGGGTCTCCGTGTAGATCAGTCATCCAAACGAAATAGCCAATGTCGTTGGAGACATCTCCAGGTTTGAGCTGGAGGAGCGCCGTTGAATCGTTCTGTTGACAGGTCGCACCTGCTGCGCGCTGCAGCGGCACGTTCCAGGCAAGCCAACAAGCGCTTATCATCCAAAGCATTGCTGAGAGCGGCCCTTTGGAAACTATGAGGGAAGCTTGAAACTGAGAATTTGCGGTCAATCGGTTCTGCACTGCCGTAAGGAAGACATGCAAAGCATGCTTACGGCTTCGATCAGTTTCGATCTGGTCTTATGGCAATCTCGGGGGCAGGAGGTTTCGAAAGTGCCTGAAACACGTATTGGGGCCGTCGATTCTCGTAGATTCTCGTGGTGTCAGTCTCGGTCGCCTGTCTATCCGTCTGGAGAGGGTGAGGAGAAGGAGTGGGAGTAGGAGTCAGAGCAGGAGTAGGAGCAGCAGTTGGAGAAATTGGGGATTGGAGCCGTTGTCGGGGTCGAAGCTGCACTAGTCGTAGAGCTAGTAGTCGGCGTCTTCGCGAAAATAGTAGCACTGCTGCTGCTGCTGCTGCTGCTGCTGCTGCTGCTGCTGTTGTTGTTGTTGCTGCTGCTGCTGCTGCTTCTGCTGCTACCCCTACCCCTACCCCTGCTCCTGCTCCAACTCTTACTCCTACTCCTACTGCCACTACTGCTATTACTACCACTACCACTACCACTACCACCACCACTATACTTCCAGTAACACCACCACAACCACCACTAACACCACCACTAACACCGCCATCACCACCACCACCACCACCACCACCACTGCTAATTACCCTCTAGTACCACTAACCTAACCCTCACTAACCCCACCACTAACACCACCACTACCAGCAAGACCACGACCGCGAACGCGACTGCGACCACGACAACGACCACGACGACGACTGTGACCACGACCACTACTACCACCACCACTTCCACTAACAGCACCACTGCAACTTCCACCACCACCACCACTACCACCACGGCAACGATAACGATCACGACAACGACCATGACGGCTACCATTAACAGTCCCATTAGCTCTGCCACTACCATACGCCACCACTACCACTACAACTATTGCTACTGCCACGACAAACTGCCACCCCCAACTGGTACTGCCACTACCGCTACCATTACCACTACCACTACCATCACCACTGCCACTACCACCACCCCTGACACCATCTTACCACTACCACTACCACCACGACTGCGACTGCGACTGCGACTGCGACTGCGACTGCGACTGCGACTGCGACTGCGACTGCGACTGCGACTGCGACTGGTACTGGTAGTACTACGATGGTAGTAGCAGTCGTCGTCGTTGTCTTCGTCGTAGTCGTAGTAGTAGTAGTAGTAGTAGTAGTAGTAGTAGTAGTAGTAGTGGTAGTAGTGGTAGCCGTCGTCGTCGTACTACTACTTCTACGACTACTACTACCACCACCACGACTACTACTACTACTACTACTACTACTACTACTACTACTACGACGACGACGACGACTACTACCGCTGTTACTACTGCTACTGCTACTGCTACTGTTATGAAAACCGGACCAGCCTAAGCCAAGGCACGCCAAAATGGAGGGGCATCCGCAACAAATGGATGTGCTAAATGGAGGAACAATCCATGCGATTTGGAGCTCATTTAGGAGATGAGCGAGGAGTGCGAAGGAAGTTGAAGGTACATGTGGGAAATGAGTGGGAAATGCACGGGCACTTGAATCTACATTTTCCTCACTTGGCTGTCCAGGGGTCCCGAAGGACCAGGTATGTTGAGAGATTGTACAAAGGTCCTAAACCTCGGAGCCGACTCGCAAAGACACAGATCGGACCTTTTCACAAGATTTGCATTAAGGCTTTCCTAAGATATGCATAGGAAACTTTTTATGCGGGTCGGGGGGTGCTGGTTAGAGTCAGAACGACATCCGATACTGGTGCAAAGCGACAACGGCCTAACTTCTTGAGAAATGATTCACAGACTATAGCCACCCTGTCGTGCTATAGTCTCGGCCCAGGACTCACACGTTTACCCGGTCTCGCTGAAGCCTTCGGCTCCAGACATCAAAAGTGGGTGCACATCGTCACGGCACATGCCGTTCGAGTTCCCCGTCACGTGAGCAACCATGTCACGAAGCAATCCTTGGGCTTGCGGTCGATCCGTGATCTGATTCCTCGACTCTTTCAGCAGAACATGAACGATGACACTCTCCACGTTGCAAATGCGGCTTTCCTTCAAAACAGGCTTTGCATCGGACACACAGGTCTTGAGCTGCTCGAACTGCTCCATGGATTCACCTGTGCCAGACTCCAGCACGGCCTGGACCTTTCCGAAACTGGCCACGAGGTCCTCGGCGTCCGTCAGCTCCTGCGCAAGCCCGGCTATGCCACACAACACCCCAGCAGCAGTATTTCTAGGTCCTAGGTTCTGTAGTCAGTAGCCTCGGTAGCCACTATGTTGGCAAGTAGAGTGGTAAGTAGTAACGGAGCACTAGTGAGTCACTAGTGACTAGTGGAGTCCGGAATATGGGGCCGACGGGGACTTATCTAGATTAGCAGCTTACCTGGTCCTACCTGGTCCTACCTGCTACTGCTACAACAACAAACTGACGGACCTGGCCGAATGTACCCGGGCACATCAATGAAAGACCAAACAACTGAAAACTACGTTGCCAAACTGCTAGGCTGGCGGGACTGGCGATGAAGGTATCTAAGCCTGATAAAGGTTGTACCCTTGCTGCTCTCGGGCTCTGCGAGCTGTTTGCATGGAAACTGAACTTGAAATCACACTTCACTCACTACATTCCAGCCACTACAGACACCCCAACTCCCAAAAGAGCCACCTGATTGAACTGCTCCAAGCTGTCGAAGAAGACCTTGCCCCTGAGTGGCATCTTGAGCAAAGTGGATTCCGCGGCCTGCAACACCTTACTGAGCTCAGTCTCTTCTTCCATCAAGGTGGCTTTCCAGGACTTGCGCCCAACAACACCCCCGATGCACTTCTCCATCTTCTGGGTGCTGCTCTGCAGGACCTCAGCAGTACCACAGCACATGTGAGATATTGCATCACTGAGAAGCTCGTCCCGAAACAAACCATCGAAGAGCTCGACGGTCTCCAGCTCCACCAACTCCAAGATCTTGACACGCAACTCCTCAATCATGTTCGTGCTCACGGTATCCTCCTTTGCCAAGCCCCTCACCTCTTGGAGGTGCGAAGCCTTCTTTTGGAATCCCACCAAGGTGTTGATCACGGTCATGAGCTGCGCCACCTTCTTATCTCCGTCCAGAGCTTTTGTCGCTGTGTCACCACCATTTTTCAGCTTCTTCAGCTCATACCCGGCAGACACCCCTGCCTTCAACACCTCGACGTGCTTGCTGAAGGCGATCGCGGCCTGCGAATCATCGGCATGGAGAAGGTGACAAACCTTCTGCACAAGGTTCACCCTCTTCATCACGGCGATCACCGTATAAGTGCCACCTTTCTGCTTGACCTGTTTCTGGAACACAAGAACTCAACAATACAGACACCCTCTAAAGAATAGATTGTAGATTGTGGGTTCTAAATCTAAACTATCAAAACCTCTATAGCTTTGCTAAACTACGCTCTTCAATGTGGAGTCAATGTACCCAAAACGAGACAGCTGGCTTTATCTGACAGGTCAGAAACCACGCCTCCAAGAAAATGGAACGCATGGAGCTAACAAGCAGCCCGCCCAAGAGGATCTTGTTGTCGTCTGACAAAGTGCCACGCATGGCCGGGAAATCGGCCACGTTGCATCTGCTGAGGATCTCCTCCAGATCCGTCAAGTTGCACATGTCCTTCTCCGCCTGCGTAGCGATTTCGACCAAATCGTTGAAAGCTAGGCTTTTCTGGTGCTTGGACCAGAAATTCTTCAAGGAAGCAATGATGTCTGTAACGCCGGCCGACTCCGCAAAAGCACGAAGACCTTCCAAGACGGCATGGATCTCCACACTCCTGCACCGCCCTGCGGAAAGGTCCGCTGTTGTCTTGCTCATGATGCCCTCAGCCAACAGCCTCAACTTGGTCTCAAGAAGGCTGGTGATCTCTGCGATCTCGACATCCCTCATGCCCTTGCGCACTGCATCATACTCAGCCATCATGTCCTTGAGGCGTGTGGCGGTGAAGCCTCCTTGCTTCACGCTTTGGAGTAGCCGATCTCGACGGGGCTGCATTGTCACTGCGTGAGCTGACTTCTTGATGACTTCATCCACCAGTTGTCTCCACGACTGGTTCTCGTTGATCAAGGCAGCCAAGTCCTTCTCAACCGTTTTTGCGTCCCCTTTTCTCGCAGCGGCTAGCCAAGTGGCCACGTCCGGGGCACTGTGCTCGATCCACTTGCCAAGCGGGAAGAGAGCATTCGACAAAAACTTCACGAAGCATGTCAAACGATCCACGTCTTCCTCGAAAGCAAGGATTATCTCCGGCAGACAGTCCATGCCTGCCCACTCCGCCACAACCTCCTTGGCCTCAGCCAAGCACTCTGCCGTGACTGTGCAGAAGGCCTCCAGGTGAGTCTCGTACGTCTCGTAGTTCCGAAAGATCTTGCGGAAGCCCTTGCTGCCGAGCATATCCATGATCAAGGCCTTCGCAGCCTGTGTGCGCAGGGCTGTGGGGAAGGTACAGAAAGATTCGCAACCCTAGGCACCCAAAACTCTAGACTCTAGACGGGCTGGCCCGAATGGATGAAGGACTCTGGGCTAGTTAGCGGCTAGCCACACAGAAGTAACCCAAACTTGGGGACTTGTAACTTGTAGACTGTACTCTGTAGTAATCGGTTCTGGACTGACGCCCTCACAACTGGACGTTGACTTTGACGCTGGGCTTGACTCCTAACATCCTAAATCCTTACAGTCCTCCTCTCTTCTACAATTCTACAATCTACAATCCACAAATTCGTTCTCAAAATTTTTGGTAGCTGGTAAGTACGACTGAGACACTAAGACACTAAGACTAAGACCCCACGGAACACACCTCCCCCACCCCACCCCCGAACCCCGCCCCATGTTTATTATAGTTTCCTGTCTTGCTCTATTCCAAGACAGGAAATTCGGTTCCCCTGCGAGCAGGACAGGAAACCACTAGCCACTAGCTGGCCTCACTAGCCATAGCAACACTAACATGCCATTCATGAAAGAGACTGTTCCAACCCCTCGCCTGCAAAGCTGGAGCCAACCCCTCCTTGAACTCATCCACCTTCTCCGTGGCCACATCGTCTCCGATGGCGGACTCCATGGCAGCCTGTGTCAAGTTCGAGAGCTCTTCCAAGCCGTCAGAGATCATGTTGGTGTTGGTGCCGGACAAAGGGGCCCACGGCTTCTGGCACTGGCTTCTGCAAGGCAAGCATGCCTCGACGGCGGCCTTGTAGTGGTCGACAATGAGCCGCTGCTTGCGGTCAGCCTCATCCTCATTATCTTCCTCGTCTACGAAGATTTCCGCCGCCTTGCTCAGGTTCTGGAAAATCAACGCTCGGTTTGCTCGGACTCGCCACTGCGGCGGCAGGCACATCGCCACCTTCTCTAGCTTGGAGAGCAAATCTTCAAGCTCGAGCAAGTCCACGTCCGCAAGCTCCGGCTTTTCGGAGATCTCTTTCAAGGCTTTGCACTGCTCGTACCTCAAACGCAAGGCGCGTGTCTCAAGCGCATCCGGCGTCTTCTCCTCCATGCCATCCAACATTTTCTTGGCCTTGCAAGAGAATACTGACACACACTGCATGTTCAAATGGGACAGAGGAGTCGCAGCATTCCTGTTGTAGCTGTAGCTGCTGCTAAGCTAGCAGCTAGCTGACACTGACGCACTCAACTGGGTTAGTGGAACATGGAACATGGAAAGTTTGGGAGTTTAGGGCTAATATAGGGTTTAGTGTTTTCGCAGCTTAGGCAGCTTAGGGTACCAGTACCAGACTACCCGGGAACTACCAGACTACCAGTGACCAGTGACTGAGTGACTACCAGACTCACCAGACTCTACGATCCCACGAACATGTCTTGTACTCGTTGTACTCTCTGAAGCCGCGACCCCGGCGACGGCGTGGCCCTTGAGGTGGTCCGTCTTCTCCCCGGTGAAGTTCTCGATCCGCAGATCCTGGAGGCATTTCACGGACGCATTCTTCTTGTTGTTGATGCTGAAGTGAGCAATGGCCACTTTTCGCATCTCAGAGTCCAACTTGTCCACTTCTTGGTCCATCTTGGACTGCTTCTTGCTGGAGCCGTCCCCTTTCTCCGAGACGGCGCCAGTAATGGCAACGGGGGTGGAGCTGGTACTGGCCATGGCCCCTGGTTGCTGGCCAGCAACCTTGCGTCGCTTTGGCTGACTCAAGCTCAAGGTTCCGCCGTGGAAGCCTGCTAGGAGAGCCTGTGCTGCTTCTTGCTTGGCGGCAGCTCCGCCTCAGTTGGCTCAGCTGCCTCGTCACCGTCAGCACCTTGATCCTGGCCCTCGCCGTCATGAAGGAGATCACCCATGGCCGCCTCATCCCCCATGGCAGCTTCGAACTGGCAGAGGGACTTGTTGTCGATGCGAGCCGCCAACTCATTCAACTCCTCCATTGTCTTCAGCTTAGTTTGGCCTCCCATATTGGGCTTTTGGCTCACGACCTGCTTCTCCACGTGCGCCATGACAGCTTTTGTCTGGTCTTTCACGAGCTGAGTCTGGGGCGTGAGCCAGTACTCGTGGGAGTGAGCGGCAGTCTCGTGCCGGATCTTGACCTTTCTGACACTGTCGCGCATGTCAGCCGACATTCCGGACAGGCTCACCAGATACAGCTTGCTTGAGCTATCTGGGGCCGCGTAGTCGCTCGCGAAAGGCTTCAAGCCCAACTGTGCCGCAGTCTTCCCGGTGTGCGTCTGCAGCTCTGAGTCCGTTAGCCCAGCACACTTCGTATAGATCTCGTACCCATACTTTGTCGAAGCGAGTACCTCCCCTGCGGGCGTGAACACAGGAGGCGTCTGCGTCCCTTCCACCATGGGCTTGACTGACACGTGTGTGGCTTTGGCCTGGCTGTTGGTCCGCAACAACTCGCAGTATTCCTCAAAGGTCAGGTCAGGCCGCAAGCGGCGGCCGGCCGCTATGCACACAACTCCGCCGGTGCCCGTAGGAACTCCGTTCTTGGTGATGAACGTTTCCTCCTCGTAAAAGCAAACATTTTCCATGATGGTGGGGCCCCGCAAAGAAACATTGACAGAAATACAAGAAGTGTGATATTATTGTCATCCGCACAGTCAATGCTCAAGCAAGCAAACGAAAAGACGACCGCACACAGAGACACGGAGGCAGACAGAGACACACACACACACACACTTTGGCTTGACTCGAACTGATGCAAAGGAGGACAGACCGGACCAGACACGACAAAGACGGACTACAGTAACGATTTCCTCAGGATGCATCAATGTACGGCTTGCTCAATTGAGTATGTCACAAACATGCTGCAGGTACACTCAGTCTCCGCTTCCCCCATGGTGGATAGCTTCGTTGGCACAGGTACCACCATGGGCCTGTGCCCCCCATGTACAGGCGTTTACACACACACACACACGCACGCGCAGTACGCCGCAGTCTCACTCACACACACTTGAACTCGGTGCCGGCTCTCGTACCTCGCCCCCATCCACACACGCACACGCACATGCACACACACACACACAGAGACACATATATATATATAGATATATATATACACACGCACACAAACACCCACCCACACACACACACACACAAACACACACACACACACACACACTCACGTTGGCACGCACGGACCGCCTGCAATCAACAACGAACGTAACCAACCAATGCGTGTGCTCATGCAAGTGCGTCTCCTTTGAAGTCAAACCGCAGGCTCCACAAACGAGCACGTTCGCAGCCAAGCCGGCTGAGCCACAGCCACCCTTGCCCTTGCCTCTGCCGCCTTTGCCGCCCTTGAGAGGGTCGTCCTTCTTCACAGGCACCATCGCCTGTGAAGGTGCCTTCGCCTGCACAAAGCGGGGGAGGCATGCAGAACGGATCCTACAATAGTCCGTCTCAACGCAAAAAGAACAGGCAAGCTTCCGTTGCGGGGCCTGGGACTGCTTGCCGCCCTTCCCCATGGCTGACAGCAGCTGAACTCTGAAGGTGGAGCACTTGCAACGTGCACGTAACTGTACACTCGTGTGTGAGCCTCTGCCAAGGTTCAATGCAGGTTCAAGAACGTTCAACGCAAAGGATACGGATACTGCCTCACGAGTCTGCGCATCAAGAACCAAATCGATGCTGAACGCATGCTCTCTTCGCCCTGTTGTTTGCACGCAGGACTGCGCAGCTTCAGTTCCATGCACAGCATGTGCTCTGCGTGCTGCACGCACATCCTATATGGTATAGTAGAAGCCTGTATGCATATGATTTCCAAGAAATATGATTAGACGACGATTACGACATAATCATATATAAGCGTATAAGCAAATTGTTCCACACACATACTTCCCGAGCCTAGGCCGAGCCGGGCCTATCTTTTTTAGATGGGAATCCACGTCAAGTCCAGTCAGACCTAGTGACTTAGTCTTTATGTGTTTCCCGAGGACTCTTCACCAAAGCTTGGGCGACACAACAAGGTTTTCCTGATTCTAAACAAACTTGTCTCGTGTCTGAGTGTGAACAAAACGCACGGTTCAATCCTGTCTGTCCCCTATTTAATGAATAGTGATGTTGCAGTATTTCATTCCCGCAGCTGCTGCGGCTACTAGGACTACTACTACTACTACTACTACTACTACTACTACTGCTACTGCTACTGCTACTGCTACTGCTACTGTCCTTTGCTACGAACGGTAATGCAAAGACCTACAGATTCTCGAGTCCACTGTCTACAGCACGCAAAGCAAAGAAACACTACACACGCATAGCCTGCAGGAGTACACTATGTTGAAAAACACTCCTTCCTCCATGCAGCAGAGGCCTGCCTGCCTGCTTCCTGCAGACTAGAAAATGCCCGGCTGTCTTGCACATGCCATGCCGAAAGCAGCACAAGGGCAGTACAGCAACCATAAGGCCATAAGGCTCCGGCTACGGATATTGCTGACTACTCAGGGCAAGCCTTTTGTTAGATAGAGGGCCCAGATGATGGAACCCAGACTAGGAAGAAACATTCCCTCGCCGGCCAAAGCACGTACACTGCGTTGTGGCACTGAGTCTGGAATCACAAGATCGCGTCGGTGTCCTTGTAGTCGAAGGTGCTCGAAAGGCAAAAGGTTACCGTCTCGCATGTAGCTGTACACTCGCGAGGATGTCGTCAAGCAACCCAGGAGACCTTGTTGGTTTGTCCACCTGTGGTAGTCGGGGTTCTGCGACACGTCGCAGTACACGTGCCGAAGCCGGGCTTGCAGTCCGGCTTTGCTCATGGTCAATGCGGGGGCACCAACCTTTTCCATAGCCACGACATCCAAGATTGCTGTCACTCTCTGCGTCTCAGCACATGGCTGCATATGCCGAGACCAAGGTCGTGCATTCTCTGGCATACACAACTTCTGCTTCATCCTAGCAATCTGGCATTTCCAAGAAGCGATCTCCTGCGAAGTCGCACTGCAACTCCCGGCCGTTGTCGGAGCTGCGGCCTGACAATCCAAAGAAAAACTTGGGTAACTTGGGATGAACCAACGGTAATGTAATTCACTAGTTTGCAACAACGGCGGCTTCAAGGCTTCAATGCTACCTAACAGTTCCTAGTCCTAGTCCAAGCTCGGATACAGTCCAACACTGCCAACACTATGTCGTCACGTGTTGCCGCTATTGTTATTCCTGCAGAAATCCTAATATTTTATTAGCAGCTTAATTAGGAGCCTAATATTTTATTAAGAGCTTAATTAGAATCCTAATAATTTAATAGCAGCTTAATTAGAAGCCATATATTTTAGTAGGAATCTAAGGAATCTAATTAGAATCCTAAAATTTACTTAAGAATCGAATTAGAATCCAAATATTTTATTAGCAGCTTAATTAGAATCCTAATATTTTTATTAGGAATCTAATTAGAATCCAAATATTCTATTAGGAATCTAATTAGAATCCCAATATTTTATTAGCAGCTTAATTACAATCCTAATATTCTATTAGCAGCTTAATTAGAATCCTAATATTTTATTAGAGTAGAATCCTAGAATCTTATTAGCAGCGTCTTTAGAATCCTAATATTTTATGAAGAATCTAATTAGAATCCTGATATTTTATTAGGAATCTAATTAGAATCTTATTAGCAGCTTAATTAGAATCCTAATATTTTATTAGGAATCTAATTAGAATCCTAATATTTTATTAGGAATCTAATTAGAATCCTAATATTTTATCAGCAGCTTAATTAGAATCTTAATATTTTATTAGGAATCTAATTAGAATCCTATTAGGAATTTAATTAGAATTCTAATATTTTATTAGCAGCTTAATTGGAATCCTAATATTTTATTAGGAATCTAATTAGAATCCTAATATTTTATTAGCAGCTTAATTAGATTCCTTTAGCAAGTTAATGACTACCTGCGCGCCGGAAGCGTTCATTTGGCGTGCATCTTCCTCAGCGCTCATTTTGGACATGCATTTTCCTCGGCCCTCCATTTCCTGCGTGCATTTTCCTCGGCCCTCCATTTCCTACGTGCATTTTCCTCGTTTC